AGGTAACACTTAAGCCATTTTCCTGTTCGTCAGACTACCATTTGTAACCAGCAGCAACTACCAGGGTTAAAAATAAAGCCAAGCTGGTGCCGCTGTTTCTGGCATGGCCACTTGAGGCTGTCTCCAGGAGTGTTTTAATCCCAACAGACCCCATGTTAAAATGCCAACTTTTTACTTAGGCATAAACACAGTCTATAAGTCAGATCCACTCCTTGCTCCTCCCTCTCGTCCAAATATGGTCACTTCTGGCTCCAAAGATTCAAGATGGTGAAAGCTGAAACACAAGATTCACAACAAGAGTCTTCACAACAAAAGTCAACAAACCAATTGGTGGCATCACAGTAGCTATGTCCATCATCTTATAAAGTCTGTCAGCAACCCGTTGGGCTGTAACTGTGTTTGCTATATCTTTTGCTTTGTTACTGACAATCCGCACCAAGAGCCCTCTACTCCATACTACAGTTGTGCCGGAGGTTGATAAACTGTAGCTCAGAGTGTTTCCTGCTCCAACCGATGATACAAGCCTGTAGACTGTCAATTGATATTACTTCCGAAAGGCTAACAAACTGTTTTTGGAATTGTAGTTGAGAGTCTCTCTCCCACCATTGTTCCAGCTTTACGGCGTTCATATAGCTTCGTTTTAGGGTTGTCACGGTACCAGAATTTTTAACTTCTTTGTAATATTAGTATCAAAAATTATACTTGGTAGCTCTTTCAATATCACGGCAAAAAAAGAAAACTATAATTACTGCCTGGTATGCCCCTGCAAACCAGACAAGTTGCAGTTACAGTTTACATCCATGTCTGTCCATACTCCTATGTGGCCACGACTCCTCACAATGCTTCAAATGTTGCTGTAAAGAAGCTGCATATTCTAGAACGTGGATGCTTCATACACGTCTTCAACTCGGCAGCACAAAAAATCTATACAATCACCACAGTTTCAAGATCGACATCCAAGATTAGTGTCACCAATTCAGTATATGACCCAATGTCTTCCCTTCTGTAATGGCCGGGAAAGTGTTTCTGAAGAACATTATGATGTCACAGTGACATTGGCCTTTGACTCTTCGGATACAAAATGTCATCACTTCATCATCTTATCCTACTAGACATTTGTGTGAAATTTCATAATAATTAGCATACAAATTCTGGGGTTATGGCCAAAAACATGTTTTATGAGGTCATAGTGAACTTGGCTTTTGACTGGTAAATTTTGATCAGCTCATCCCAGAGTGCAAGTGGACGTTTGTGCCAATTTTGAGGAAATTCCTCTGAGACCTTCTTGAGATATACGTTTGCAATAATGAGACGGATGCAAGGTCACAGTGACCTTGATCTTTGAACTTTGAACACCAGAATCTAATCAGTTCATCACTGAGTCCAACTGGACTCCAAATTTGAAGAAATTCCCTCAAGACCTCTTGACCTTTTTTAAGTCTATTGAAGAGGAGATAATATAGCTGACTCATCAAAACCCACTCCTGAGAAGGGCTCCAAGAAAGGCGTGACCAAGGCTGCCGGCAAAGGAGGCAAGAAGAGGAAAAGCTCCAGGAAGGAGAGTTACTCTATCTACGTTTACAAGGTGCTAAAGCAGGTCCAGCCCAACATCGGCATCTCATCCAAGGCCATGGGCATCATGAACTCCTTCCTGAGTGACATCTTCGAGCACATTGAGCACCTTGGCTCACTACAACAAGCACTCCACCATCACTTCTAAGAGGATCCAGACCGCTGTGCATCACCTGCTCCGCGGTGAGCTGGCCAAGCACGGTGTGTCCAAGGTCACCAAGGCCGTGACCAAGTACACCAGATCCAAGTAAACCACTCAACTGTTTAACAAAGTCGTTCTTGAGATATTGGGTTCTCGAGAATGAGATGGACGCAAGGTCACAGTCACTTTCGACTGCCAAAATCTAATCAGGTATTGTAGAGTCCAAGTGGACATTTTTGCCAACAACATTTTTTCAAAGTTCCTTCAAGGTGTTCTCATGTTCACAAGCATGGCACGGCATAACAGATAAAAGATAAATACAGATAGAAGAAGACAACTACTGAGAGTCTGTCTCCGTCACTTGCATCATCCAGGTCACACGTGTCACACATGATGAAAATCCAGTTCTCAAATACTGTCTCTCTGGAAGCAAAGAATGAACTGTGTTTTGAATTATATGAGACCGGTCCTAGACACAGTTCTGCCATCCAAGCATTTAACTGAGAATTTGGAAGTGAACTCAGAGCAATAACCACCATCCTAGCAAAGTGTCCAGGTGTAAGCAGCTGTTTCAGGTATGAGAGGGGTGTTCAAGTCCTTTTCGACTCTCATGCAGGAAAAGTGAAAGGAAACAAGTTATGATGGGTGTGTGACACATTTGGTGAAGGACAAAACCAGGCACTTGCTGGTCTTCATTAGGACTGAGGTCATCGTCTCTGGCTTGTAGTCAGGGAGGCAGGCAACCTTGTCTTTTCTGGGCAGAGGACTGAAGGTGGATGATTTGAAGCAGAGAGGACTTTGCCTGTGGGCAGGGTGTGAGAGAGGATGCTAGAAAACAACAGAAACAGCTTGACAGTACAGAGTATGAAGATTTCCTCAGTCAGGCCTCGAATTTGTCCCCACGTTTTTCGGCCAAAAAATGGTAATACCTAAATGATGATGTCATAAAGCATGGAAGTCGAACTCTGATGGAGTAGTTGTCAACCCAGGTAGAGGTCATTGGTTGTGAAAATGTCCAAACCTGTGTCAGCTCCACATTTCACATTATTTTCTGAACTTTTTCAGGAGTATTATTTGACTTCTGAGGTCTTTTTGGATAAGACGAGTGGTACAAATTGTCAAAGTGCCTGTCAGATCAACACATTCTCACACAATAGACTACAACTACCAAGAAGAATGGTGATGCGCTATGATCCACCGCACACACAAACTAGCAGCGCAGCACTGGACTGCATGTGTGTTGCAGTAATGCTATTCATCTCACAGACTGATTTAGCGTAGCACATGCAACATATAGACCGATGTTGCACTGTAGACTAACAGACAGATTAAACAGAGGAGCAGCTCTGTGTCTCTCTTTGTGTCGCTAGAAAACTTGTGAGTGAATAAGTGGGGCTGAGCTATGCAGCGAGTGTGAGAAAGAGAGAAGCACACTTGTATGCGTTATGTAACGCAACTTGACCCTGTATCAGTATAAACAGTGTTGTCTAAATTTATATCTTGCTTGAAAATACATTGATATATCGTACATCATCGTTGTATCGCCCAGCCCTAGGCTAGGTTTTATGCTAACGTAATGTAACGCCATGTCACAAAAGTTATTCGCACATAATGCACACAGGAAACAAACAGCGGTCTCCTGAGTAAAAGTCCGGAGTTTGTTTGCCCGATGCAGACTTTCTGGCTCTTTATACTATGGCAACTGCTCGTAATGTCAACAAATGCCACTAGCGATCGCTAAAGGGTGCCTCTGTGCCTCGGTATCTGTCGGTATTTGACAAGTTGGGAGAGAGATAGGGTTGGTCAGATGAAAAACTGAAGGCACTGTCAGTCTGATGCTGTTGAAGTTTCCATCACTAAGCAAACACATAAACCCACCAGATATGGCCTCATGCCATTCATCCATCTACTGACCCTTTTATTACTGTACAGCCGCAGCTCTATTGAACTTTATAAAACAAAATGTCCAAGATCTCTGTGTACTAATGAGCACTTTGGCCCTGAGTTAATGCTCTCCTATTGGATTTGTCCAAAAGCAAATGGTAACAGTGACAGATCCACAGTGACTGAGAGCTTCGATCCACACAGGCCATTTTCAACATAACTCGGCCTTCTGGTTCACTGGATTCAGGCTGCAGTTTTAAACAAGGTGAAACCTCTGCTGCTGTGTTTCCCATTTCTTAAAATGTCAAAATTAAGATGAAGATTGATTTTCTTTTTCTTGCGCAAGACAATATTTTACATACAGTACAGTAAATATTATGTCATTATATGACGCAGTGCATGGATGTGTATATTATCAGAGGCATGAAGTTAAGGAGGTGTAAGTTTTTTGCCAGAACAAGTGATAGTTTGACAGTTTCTATTAACAGACATCAGTCATTCCTGAAAGCGTGTCCAGAATTAAAATGGAGGGTTAGTCACATAATAGAAAACGTGTCTTTTTAATATGATTGCTGGTGGAGGGATTGAGAGTCACATTGATGTAGATTGATTGTAGCTTTCTTTCTTCAGATTGAGGACAAATGCCGCAATGGGTGATTAAATCCAGGCCCTTCGCTTGGACGCTTCTGGGGCGGATTTTCCGAGAGCAAGGGACTTGGCGCCGGGGATCCTGTGTATTTTCCACCCTGATCTCTGCTTGGCAGAGGCCTAAATAATAAAGCTCTTTTTACTGAGCAGCCCGGGGTTCCCTGTGTACAAACACAAGCCTTGCAACCCCCTCCCGCCTCTGCTGTTTTAACACGACCTGTCGCCATGGGGGTTTACCTCACACCCCACTAAGCTCCCGTCCTGCAGTTGTCTGAGAGTCAGCCCCCACTCTGCCACAGACTCACACTGGGGTCAAGCCAATTTGGCCTTGAGGTAATTTTACTGGGACCAAAGTGCACAATGTGAGGCTTGATCAGGGAACACGGGAGGCAGCTAACAACTGACAAACATCTAAACCAAACCCTGAGGGGGAAAAAAAGTCAAGGAAAAAGCTCCAAAAGTGAAGGAGGTCATTTAGGGCGTTTTCACTGTGGTGCCCACTATACCCATACCTATACCTCTCTGCCAGTCAACATATACTCCACATATGTTTTAGTGTTTTCAGTGTTATTTCTAATTGCATCATGGAGTGCAGCAGGGTGTGAGACCGGTATGATCACGGAAACGTAGCAAGCGGTGATGAAACATCCATTCATGCGGCCACGCATGGATGTGTGTGTTTATTTAACTACTGTGCAGGTTAATCTGGGCCCTCAAAGCCTGGTGCTGTGTGTTAGTGCCAAGGCTCACAAACCTTCTGCGCTCTGATCCGCCTGCCAGCTTTGAAACCTGACGCGGCCAGAGAAGCCTCCTCCGAAAACGATGGCCCAGGCCTCTCCTGCTCTCAGAAGACACATTTAAAAAAGGTAAGTCAAGATAAGTTAAAGGGATGCTCTGCCGATTTTCAACCAGTTTTGTATCATAACAACGTGGGTAGTACCTGTAAATGAACTCAACTTCCCTCTAAGCTTGTGCAGTATCAAGGTATTTTGGTAAATCAAGGTATTAAGAAATCCTGAAGGTATGATTTTCAATACCGTCGAAAATACAGATGCTCCTTTCTATTAAACTAATACAGAGGTGCTGCATTGAGGATGTATTGTAGTGCACAGCACGAGCCACCAGAGGTCAGTCTCTACTGGTGGAACAGACAGCTGAGTTAAGACAGATGGTCACTGCAAGAGGTGGGGATAACATTACAGGACTAGCAACTGCAGAGACACAGTGAGGAAAAACAACATATTTGCACACATAACTGCAAATTAATGGTTTTATTTTGACCAATCCAGAGAAGTGATTGTTGAAACAGTGGAAAGACTAACCAATGGTTTTGGTGAGTTTTATTTTCTTTCTATTAAGTCTGAATGAAGTGTGTTTTACGATGAGTTAACAAAGCAATTAAGCAAACGAGAAAAACTTGGATTCAGAAGGTGTGAGGTTTTAAGTGTTTGTTTGTTAAGGAAAAAGATGTTAGAAGTTAGAAGTGTAGTAAACATGCTGCTTGAACACATCTCACTGCTGACACAACATGGGGTTGTTGGGCTGATGGCGGCCAGTTGGAATATTTTAACATATCACCATATCATCTAAGAGGCCGTTTACACGTACACGGTGATTTTGATAAACGGAGACATCTTCCTTCGTTTGTGCCCTTCGTTTACACGCAAACGGAGATTTCTCCTCTGAAAACGAGTCTTTCTAAAAACTCCGGCCAGAGTGGAGATTTTGGAAAACTCCGGTTGTGCGTTTGCATGTAAACTGAGATAAACGGAGATAAACGGAGTTATAGGCAGCCGACGTCACAGTATGCGCCGGAACTTGCGCCTGTGTAAAAAGTGCGACCTATGTTGCTATGGTGACAATGGATACATGGAAGGCTTGAGCTTCTCGCTTGAGCCACCTACAGGTTTGGCATGCTCTTGTGTATATATACACGGGTAAGTGTAAACGAAGATCTTTTTGAAAACGGAGACGGTGAAATGTCCGTTTATGAAAATAGCCGGCAACGTGTAAACGGCCTCTCAACCTACATTGTAGGCTTGACAATGTCATACATGCTACAAAACATTTTGTTTTGGCATTTTGCCTTTATTGGACAGGACAACTGTCAACTGTCAGGGAGGACAGAGACAGGCAATGACATGCAACAAAAGGCCAATCCAACCTGTGGCCGCTGCAGAAAGGACATAGCCTACCCTCAACGCCCCTGCCCCTATATAAGCCTACACTACAGATGAACATAATAAATACAAGGATGCGAAAGTAATCAGTATTAAATGTACAGTTAAAGGCTCTCTAAGTCTTCCTAAGCTTGAAAAGTTTTTGTCACATACAGCAAACTTCTCCTCACGATCCACTAGCTACATGTCCTCTGAATATGCTGTGAAAAAGTCCGGTCTCTGTAGGCAGCCCAGGCTCCGCAAATGGCAACAAAAACACTTCACTTCTGTTTACGTTCAACAATGTTATCAAACACAACGGCGCTAGCTCGCCTTTTAGCCTCATTGTAGCTCTAACTGCCTCTCTGGGCACCGCGTTCACGTGTGTGGATTTACGCAAGACCGTGAGACATGGGCACCACGTTCATTAGGGATGGGAATTGATAGGATTTTATCGATATCAATGCCATTATCGATTCTGCTTATCGATCCAATTCTTTATCGATTCCCTTATCGATTCCTCCTGTGAATTAATGATATTACCTCCTGCTGTTTGTAACCCAATACATCTGCTTTCAGAACGTTTTATTATGAACCTTAAAGCCATGGCCTAGTTTAGAAAGATGATGAGAAAGATTTGGAAAAAAAGCCCCCCCCCCCCCCCACTCCTTCTGTGCTCCATGATCCCTCCCCTCTGAGCTCATGTCCCTCTCCCTCGGAGCCTCCTAACGACACACCTCCTGCCGCATAGAAATGTTTTGACGCCATCTAACTGTTAACCACACAAAAAACTAATGGCAGCTTTCACAGTCATAAGCCAGCATTGGCATACAGTTATCTGTGTCACAACAGCCACAATAAGTTGTCATTAATGTTACTCCTAGGTGGTGATATAGAGATAAATCCCGGCTCACAGCCTGAGTGTGTCAACACCACGCAGCTAGTGCAGCTAAGTTAACTCAGGTGAGGTAGCTAACGCAGCTAGCCCAGCATATTATAACAACAAATAGCATGCAAATCAACTCAACTGCCCTCATCTTACCATCCTTGGTGTTCCCATGAAATCCGACAACAGGAACGGGGATACGCCGAAGCTCCACAGTAGGCTAGCAGCTCCAGGGAGGCTAACAACAACAGCGCCCCGCCCGCTGTCCACCTGGAGCGGAGATGCGCCGAAGCTCCACAGTGAGCTAGCAGCTCCAGGGAGGCTAACAACAGTGTGAAGTGAAGCTACGGCTTTGACCGCTTCTGTCTCTCCGCCATTACGTCTTCTTTGTTGTTGAACGGGTTGCTGACTGACAAGCATAGATTCGGCGTAATGAAAAGAATCGATAAGGGAATCGTTAAGCATAAAGGCTAATGATGTCGATGAATTGGACCAGTTGGAACCGGTTTTTAACAGGAACCGGTTCTCGATTCCCATCCCTAGCGTTCATGTGTGTGTGCTTGCTTTCGCTGGTCTCGCGCTGGCTGGTTGGTGCAGCCTGGACCAAAATGTTTTTGTTGCCATTTGCAGAGCCTGGGCTGCCTACAGAGACCCAACTTCTTCACAGCATATTCAGAGCACATGTAGCTAGCGGATTGTGAGGAGATGTTTGCTGTATGTGACAAAAACTTTTCAAGCTTAGGAAGACTAAGAGAGCCTTTAATGGTGAGAAAGAGGAAATGATGAAGCCCGGTGTTACTGTATAATTCTCTGGTGTATAAGTAAAGTATAAACTACACTGCAGAGTAGAGTCTGTGCTAACAGAAGCAAACAATGACAGCTGACTCATATGAACATCGGCAGGTCTGCATTACATCTGGTGTATGAAGTTTATATCACTGCATTTTTATGAACACACCCACCATCACATGATAGACTAACCTACAACTACCAAATAGAATAGTGATGAGCTATTGATCCACTTCACACATTAACACTCAACTCAAACAAGTATCTCGCACATACACAGCCAGAGAGATAGATGTGCGTCAGACCAGGTTGCCAGGTAACGATACAAATAATCGCTAACTGTAGCATCACATTGCTAGTGGTTATTAATAAGTTTAACAACAGAGTCGAGTCTTTTAAAAGCTTAGTGTTGGAGGTAACCCGCCGCTGCTAATTAGCTCTTGCTAACACTTTGGAGACGGAGGTCCTTCAGCGTTGTGTCTAACCTATGTCAGGCAGTCGGAGATCAGACCCTCAGCGCAATCCTGTTGTCTTTCTTTGGAACTGTAAAAGACATCCACAATGTGACATGTTTTGCCCTCTAGACAGGGAGCCGCAGTTGTTCTTCTTCTTCTCTGTGTTTATTAGCAATCCAAGTTTAAAGGTCACTGTACCGCCACCCACTGTGTAGGGTGTGTAGATGCTGCCCTTGCTAAGTTAATAAAAGCAGTCTGGCCTCGTATTATCGGTGGTATTTATTGACTATAATTTTAAAAATCAGAGTACCACACAATTATAAAAATTTCCCGTTATCAGTCAATAATTTATCGACCCGATATGTATCGTGCATCCCTACATTTTAACTCACTGTTTAACTGTTATTCGAGATCATTTGTTACCAGCCAGCCACCATACTGTTTCCTGTGTCAAAATGGCCAACCCTGCATTATGTCACCCACCAGTGTGAGCGTTTATTGGTCTGGTGTGGCCTCTTGAGCAAAGGCAAATGCCCCAATCCTTTTCTCTGGTCATGTAGCACCAAGTTCAAAAGTATTTGTGTCTTTCTACTGCACAGACAGTCCAGTTTATTGAAAGTCCATCTTTCAAGCAGTGAAGTTTTTTCCTGCAAATAATTGCATGAATACGTCGTCTGTCATTAAGTTTCTGTACAGTAGAAAAATGTTCCTGCAGTAGTGCTGACCATTACAATGTGTGACTGACAGGATTTGATGGCACCTTTACCTCCACATGCCCATAAACATAAACCATTTAATGGAGATCCAGTCTCTGAACAGCTGCGTAGGCGGAGGAGTGAGCTCTGAAAGCCAAAACAGTAGCTCTGCAGTGGAGGAAAAATGAAGTGATTTTTCCATTTTTTACCAGCTGAGCTACTTTTCCCCATGAACAATAAAATGAAAACAACACATACGCCTCGGGAAAACACTGGAAGAAATTAGTCCCCAACTGCAGTAGCTAATCAACACAGCCACAACACACGTTGCGCCCTTCTTGTGTGACAGAATTGAAGGCAAATGTTAGTGTGGCACCCAAAGTGTTGGGGCTGTAATCATGGTGAACCACAGGAAACACACCATGACATCAAGTTATTTAAAATCTTAGATAATTAAAGAGGAGGGATGTTTAATGAGATTGTTTGAATGTTGCTGGAAAAAAAAAGAAACAGATTTAATAAATGTCAAAGCAGTTTTGACGACGGCAGTCTGCATGAAATCTAAATCATCTTTATGAGACTGAGCTGTAACATAACAACCAGCACAACAGATATGACTTCTTCCTGTTCACTACTGGAGGATTTCTTTAGGGATGAGACTTGATAATTGTTTATTATTATTATACCAATGCCATCATTGATTCTGCTTATCGGTCCGATTCTTTGATTCCCTGATTGATTCCTGATTATTTTTCTGCGTTGAAAAAAAATTTTATTATCTGTTTTATAATCTCTGAGTCTGAACACAGCGTAGACACGGAGCAGAAAAAAGGCATGCAGGTGTGCAAAAGCTC